CTGGGGGGGAGCGCGGCGCGGGGGCGGCGGGGCGGCGTGGGGCCCAGCGCGGGGGGCTGCCGGGATCGCGGCAGGTAGGGTCAGGTCGGGCATGTCCTCCTACAGGCGGGTTCTGAACGAAGAATTAAAAAACAGTAAAAGAGTACTCCAAAATTAACAGATTGAAATACTCAAAAAATCGTCCCCAGACTGCTTGTTCGACTGTTTTTGAATGCTCCTCCTGTAGAGGGACAGGCCCGACGTGAAGGTAGGGGCCACGTGGGAGGAGGGGAGGGCTCGGGGGTGCAGGTGCATTCCCCCTGGGGGAGGAGGTGGTGGAGATGAGAGGAGAAGCGATCAGGGGAAGAAGGCGGTTCAAAGGAGGGAAGAGGGAGGGAGAAAACGAGAAAGACGGAGGAAGGGAGAGATGCAAGAAGGGGGGAGGAAGGAGGGGAGCTTAGGAGCGAGGAGGAAGAGGCGAAATAGTGGTCCGGACCATTCCTCGTGCCCCTCCTCCTTTTCCTGCTCCTCCTCCCCATCGCTCCTCCCCTCCTCCGCCACATCCTCCCTCACCTTCCCTGACTCCCTTCCTCCCTCCTTCCCTCTTTCCCTCCTCCTTCCTACTCTACCTCCTTCTCCTCATCCTATATACCCTCCTCCTCCTCCAACTCCTCCTCCTCCTCCTCCTCCTCCTCCTCCTCCTCCTCCTCCTCCTCCTCCTCCATCCCTTTCCCTGATAAATAACTCCACCCCGTCGCCACCCTAGAGGTCTCGGCAAGACGGGCCGGGCGTTTCGGCAGAGACTTCCTCGCCGCTTACAACCCCAAAACTCGAGAATTAACAATTTCAAGGATGAAAGGTGGGGGTCGAAATGTGTCTCTAGCCGTAGCGCCGCGCACATTCGTCTTAAGAGTCGGCAGCAGTGGCACAGATGGATGAGGTCGGTTTCCAAATGTAGATCTCGTCTTAGCGTCGCGCACTTCGCCGTAAAGCTTGAAACAACTCCAAGAATAGAGGCGCCTCCTCTTCAACAAAGGCTCGCTCTCACCTCAGCGCCGCGCACGCTCGTACTAGAAGTCGGCAGCCGTCTCAAGGACGGAGAGGGGGGTCGTTTGCAACATGTAGTCTCGCCTTAGCACCGCGGACATTCGTGTTAAATGTTGGCAACAGTTGATGGAAGGGTGGAGGGCGGCTCCTCTGCAAAATGCGGCTCTCGCCCCAGCACTGCGCACACTCGCCCTGAAATGATGCAACAGCGTCAAGGATGGAACGCAAGCCATTTTCAAAGATGGCGCTCGCCTCAATGCCGCGCAACATGCGTCTTAAAAGTCTGCACCAGCTTCCAGGATGAGGGGCGGATTCGTTTCAAGGTAAATTAGGGACCCTTCCACAAGAAACCCTCCACAAGAAACCCAACCCTGAGACCCCAGGACGGCCATTCATTTTTGGTGTGGGAACGTCGGGCTTTCCAGAGCAAAACCATCGAAACCCAAGAAACCCAGGGCACCCTGGAGGCAAGCAGGGTGTTTCTTGGCATGGGCCCCCACTGAATGGCTCTCGGCTCATCGCCGCGCACCCTCGTCTGAACATGCTGTAACAGCTTCACAGATAGCCTTTCCAGAATGTTGCTCTCGCCTTAGCGCCGCATGCGTTCGTCCCACTGTTTCCCCAGCATCTCACGAGATTTGAACATTGAGCACACTTCGCTGCAAAATGGTGGCTCTCGCCGCAGCGCCACGTCCATTCGTTCGGTGTATGCAGCCATGAGAAGTACAGGGGACTGCTGTTTGGGGAGGTTCTCACGCGAGACTTCGCCAATACTAGGACACCAAGAGCTGAACTATATGTATCGCTGCACTGGCAGAGGGCAGCCCTTTTTCAAAGTTGAGCTCTCGCTTGACCTTCTCGATGTGAATGATCACAGGCGAAAGCTTGTGCAAGAGTTAGACGGGTGAAGGGGCGGTCCTCTTCGAACAGAAGATCTCGCTGGACACCCCGTTAAGCTGCCTGATTATCGGTTCCCGCATTCCTCCTCCTCCTCCTCCTCCTCCTCCTCCTCCTACTCCTCCTCCTCCTCCTCCTACTCCTCCTCCTCCTCCTCCTCCTCCTCCTCCTCCTCCTCCTCCTGCTCCTCCTCCTCCTCCTCCTCCTCCTCCTCCTCCTCCTCCTCCTCCTCCTCCTCCTCCGCTGGTTTCGCAACAACAAAATTGAGGCAGTTGCGGTTCAAAGCGGAGCCCTCGCCAAACTGGCAGGCCCAAGTGTGCCGGTCGTTCAAGGGCGGGCGATTATTGCAATGAAAGGGAAGCCTGTAGGTACGTATGGGCAGGAAAGGTGTATTGCAACAGCTCTGGTGCGCCTTGGGATTTCTCTGAGCCTCCTCCTCCTCCTCCTCCGCCGCCTACTCTTCCTCCCTCCCTCCTTCCCTGGCTCCAATGTCTCCCTCCTTTTCTTTCACTCCCGTGTCTCCTTCCCGTCTCGCTCCCCCCCTCCCATCCCACACCCTCGCCGTTCCTCCTCCCCCTCTTCCTCTTCCTCTTCTTCCTCCTCCTCCTCCCCCTACTCCGCCAGACTTTCCCAGAGGTTGAGTGCCATAACTCAGGTAAACCAGCCAGTTGGAAGAATGTGTGTTGATGGGTTCAGCTCAATGGCCAAACTCGATGAAGCCCGCTGTGATGGAGGGTTCGAAGTAGTCAAGGTCCAAGCTCATCGGAATCTTGAGGCCCTGGACAGATACTCAGACCAGTGGCGACACGCCTCTGGCAACGATGCAGCAGATCGAATCGGCAAGCTGACAGCCTCCAAGTGACCCAGGTCCTCACAAGCGGAGCGGGAAGCCCAGCAGCAGCCCGACCAGAGGAAACGTGTCCTGCGTCATGTGCCAAAGCCCCTCGCCCTGTGGCCTGCCATCGCCCCCAGGGTTAGAGGTGAGGGGCTCGAGGCCCTGGTGCCAAAGCTATCAACGCAGCGGTCGGAGCCCGCGCGATCGCGGTAGTGCGGCAAGGGAGCGCCAACTCTGGGCGGTCGAGCCCGGGCCCTGGGACTGCTGCGGTCCCTCCCACGCCCAGTCTCCCTGTCGTCGCGCACTCGCGTGTCGGGCATGCGTGGTCCTGGCAGAGGGCACGTTGGCGCTGCTGCCTCGGACACTCGCGATGCCGTAATGACAAGACCACGAAGGACCGTGCCAAGGAGTGGTGTATCAGGAATGCTGCCGCCCTAGCCAAGCTAGCGCAGCAGCCCGGAGGCCACCAGCCTACAATTGCTTGGCAGAATTGCAGAAGAGAGCGTCATTGTTGCATGCTCTGAACGTGGCAAGTACTCAGAATGTACTGTCAAGGGCCTCCAGACGAATTGCCCGAAAACGTTCTGGTCTACGTGTTCGAGGGGTGCCTACGAGCGCCTCCAGGAGGTGAGACACCCCAGGGCTCCAAAGACCAGCCCTGTAGTCTGCAAGCCTCCGATTATGTTAGCTCAGGTAGCCAGAGAAGCGGCTGAGCTCCAAACGCTCGAGTCGCTTTAGCGAAGTCGAACCCTCTCCGAAGCCGTGCGCCCCCCCCCCCCGTCCTCCGTCATCCCCCACCATCCCAACATCCTCCATGTCATCCCTCCCTCCCTCCATTGCCGCCCTCCTCAACCTCCTCCTCCTCCTCCTCCTCCTCCATCCTCTCCCTCCTCCTCCTCCTTCATCATCATCATCATCTCATCATCATCATCATCATCATCATCATCATTCATCATCATCATCATCATCATCATCATCATCATCATCATCATCATCATCATCATCATCATCTCATCATCATCATCATCATCATCATCATCATCATCATCATCATCATCATCATCATCATCATCATCATCATCATCATCATCAGCATCATCATCATCATCATCATCATCATCATTCAGCATCATCATCATCATCATCATCATCATCATCATCATCATCATCATCATCATCAACAACATCATCATCATCAGCAGCAGCAGCATCATCATCATCATCATCATCACCATCATCATCATCATCAGCAACATCGTCAGCGTCATCATCATCATCATCATCATCAGCATCATCATCATCATCATCATCATCACAACCATCATCATCAGCAGCAGCAGCATCAGCATCATCATCATCATCATCATCATCCTCATCGTCATCATGATCATGATCAGTATCAGCATCCGCATCATCAGCATCATCATCAGCATCAGCATCAGCATCAGCATCAGCATCATGATCATGCTGATCATCATCACCAGCATCATCATCATCATCATCAGCAGCAGCAGCAGCAGCATCAGCATCAGCATCATCAGCATCCCACATCGTCGCCCTACCACGCCCATTGCAAAAAAACACGAAGAGGGAACAGTGGCGGGATGGCAGGAGGGGAGGGGATGAGGTTGGGCGGGGGTGGGGGCGGAGAAGGGGGGCGTAGTTGTGACACTGCGGGGATGCAGTGCACTCGCGCGGGGGGGGGGGGACTGGGGCAGTGAGGTGGGAAGGGCGGGAGGGGGGAGGATAACTAGGTGACCAAGGGGGAAGGGGAAAAAGGGGATAGAACCGCCGAACGAGGAGGGGGCGGATGAAACGGACGACAAGAATGACCAGGCGTGGAGGGGATAATACGCAGGGGAGGACGTCGGGCGGGCATGGGAGGAAAACGCGGGGGAGTGCGTGTGGCACTACGGGGGTACAACCCACTCGCGTGAGGAGACGACTGGGGTAGTCATAAGGAAGGGGAGAAGGAGGGGAATGGGTGGAGGGAGTGAGGAGGGAGGAGCAGAGAAACAGAAGTGCGGATGAGAAAAACAGATAAGGAGGACCAAAATGGAGAGGGGCTGTGAGGAGGGGGACGACGAAGAGCATGAGAACGAGGGGAAGGAAGAACATGAGAACGATGGACAAAAACGAGTAAGTGGACGACGACGACGACGGCGATGGAAATGATGATGCACATGACGATGATGATGGCGGTGATGATTGTGGTGATGCTGATGGTTCAAGTAGTGATGAT